GCCTATAGATCCTGGATCATTTGATCTCAACGACAGGCGACTTCCATTCGACACGGGGAGCAGCAGTTAGCGGAGTGGTTTCTCCCGTAAACAGCGGTCCCTCAATTTCCCCTTAGATAGGGGTCTCAATGGAAGCCACAGTCAACTGCAACTTTTGAGGTTGTACTCAGTAGACCTTGCTTCAACCAGCATGAACAAAGAATTACATTTTGCTCTTGAACCAGCAAAAAGCCAACACATCGCCAGGCTCAATTTCGGGCAAATCATTAGGTTCGATCAGAACCCTTCCATCAGAACCCTTTCATCAGAGCCCCTTCGAGAAGATCCTGTTGGCTTTGGCCGATTCTGGGGTTTATGGCTTTTGGGCTTTTACCTTGTGGCCCTTGAAGACCCCTTTGCATGTCCTCCCATTTTCCAGGAAAGCGTTTTGCAGGGGCCGGATCTGTGTGGCCAGGTTCTTTGGCCCTCCAAATTAGGCGAGCGAAGCTAAAGGAAGGCTGCAGCGAAGGGGAAGGTAACAAAAGGGAAACTGCACCCCCCCACCCATTTTTGGGATTCGCCTGGCGCGAAAGCCAGATTGTCGCAAGCACAGGGAACCTTGCTTAGGTTCTTAGGCTTTAGTTGATGTATTGGGGTTTTCCATTTGACCCACCAAGCAGGGGATCAGACGGACCGGATTCCAATGCTTGCAGCTGGGCTCCTTCACTCAGTAGACTTCATTAAAACGACTCCCAGGGACAGCACCGTGAGGGGCAAAGGCAGCGGGAAAGCTGGATTGGACTTGTTCCCACCGACTTTTTGGTGCCATCTATGTGCTCCAAACACTTGATTGCTATTGGAGAACTACCGGATCTTTTGACTTTCCCCTCTTTGTTGCCATCTTTTGGGGTGCTACAAAAAGCAAAGAAGTTAACTTGGCACGTTTCTCTTTGTGTGCCCATTGACGTTTGACCAAGGGTTGGCTTTATGCGGGTCGGTTGAGTCACCTTACGTCTGAGTTAGCCCGGGCGCCTTTGACTGAGCGACCAAGTTTCGTTCGCGTACGCCACGGGGCTCCTACTGTGGATGGACGAAAATTGTGAACCTAAGAAACCCTGGAATGCTACGATTCCCCTGAAAATACAAAGAAGCAATGGCTTCCCATGGTTTCAAAGAGGACACAATCCTGCACCACCCAGGGACCCAAGACACCATGAGAAACCATTGTGTGTTGATATTTACAGGGGGTCATATCATTCTAGGGTTTCTTAGGTGGATGGACGAAAATTGTGAACCTAAGAAACCCTGGAATGATACGATTCCCCTGTAAATAGCAAGAAGCAATGGCTTCAACCATGGTTTCAAAGTGGACACAATCCTGCACCACCCAGGGACCCAAGACACCATGAGAAACCATTGTGTGTTGATATTTACAGGGGGTCATATCATTCTAGGGTTTCTTAGGTGGATGGACGAAAATTGTGAATCTAAGAAACCCTGGAATGCTACGATTCCCCTGTAAATACCAAGAAGCAATGGCTTCAACCATGGTTTCAAAGTGGACAGAATCCTGCACCACCCAAGACACCATGGGAAACCATTGTGTGTTCATATACAGCGGGTCAGATCATTCTAGGGTTTCTTAGGTGGATGGACGAAATCCTGAACCTAAGAAACCCTGGAATGATGATGATCCCCCTGTAAATACCAACAAGCAATGGCTTTCCATGGTTTCTGAACGGTGGTGCGATTTCTGGATTTCGCAACCATTCACAGTATGGGTCCCTTCTCGCGAGAGGCCGAGGCGGACACCACGATGTCGATCTGAGAAAATCCCCTGCGCCGAAGGCGCAGTGGCGGAGGGTGCCGCGGATTTGTTTCAGCGGTTCGAAGGACATGGTTTGCCTGCAGGATCGAAGGATGTGCTTCATTTTTTGTGTGTGGAGCCTGTTTTTTTTATTTTTGGTTTGGGGGTGGGGTGGGGGGTGGGGTAAGCCGCTTGTTTTTTCGGTTTGAACTGCTTTTAGATTAAACACTTGGGTTAGGACAGTTGGTTGTTAAGGTATCCCCGATCCAAACCAATCCAAATCACCGAGGGGTAAGGTGAGCGTTCCCTCAACAGGAGTGCCCTTTGCGGCTTCCGAACCCCAGGTTAGGGGGGTGTCCATTTCTGGGTTTAGCGGGGCAGACCACTTTTGGATTTGCCTTTAGCCTGCAAGGAGTAGGAGTTTACGATATCCGGGGTCAGTAGGATTGAAATTCAGGTTTGCCATCCACTTTGAACAGCTCCCGCAGCAGACTTTTTAAGCCGTCGGACTTATTCTCACACGACGAGCTGCCTGGACGGGAGGTCGGAGGCCTTGCCCCTAGGAGACACGGCTTTTAGCTTTTGGCCACCCGAACGGCCCAAACGGAAGCCACCATGGGGTGCAGATGTATGCAAGAACCAAGGTTTCTAGGGCCTGATTCTACCCATTCTTTTCAACCATTGTTCTTTGTACAAACCGTAGCTGTTGTCCCTGGGTTTCCGGAGGTATTCTAGAAAGATTCGGATCCCTGGAAAGAATGGGGAATACATTTTACATTTTACCAGCCTAACTCTAACCATGATCCAAGAACGCCCGTTTGAAAAGACGGACATCGAAGAATCGTGCGAAAATCCGCTCCGTTCGGTGTTTCTCGGTTTAGACGCGAGACCTGCCGGCCAGCGCAGCCTGCCATGACCGTGTGAAGCCTCCGCAGCAACGTGGAAAAAGACCATGACTGGGGCGAGGGAGGGGTCATGCTTGTGGAAAACAAAGATTTGTTCCTGGGATTTTTCCGCGACTCACAATAATCCCCAAGAAATTCAACAAAAACTGTCAGAAACAAATCGGACAAGTAAATTTACATAGGGGGCAACCCACCAGAACAACTGGGTTTAGGTGAAGGAAACTGGCCCCAACTTATCTCTCGACATTGCACAAAAGGGGCAACCCTCCCAGAATAATTGGTTTTAAGTGAAGGGATCTGCAACAAATCCCCAAAATTGCCGAACAAAGCAAACCATAACCTCAAAAAGGGGCAAACATCCCAGAATAGCAGACCACCAAATCCAAACCGCCTGGTTTTCTGCTAAGTTGAGTGCTTGTCAAATTTGAAATGAAGTAGTCACAGGATGGATGGATTTTACCTGAACTCAGGTGCACTTTGCAATGTGCAATCGACAACGGGCATATGAGTTTTGCTGATTTCGGAAAGGATGGTTTGCGAGCCCCTTTTCACGAGAATAAGTGGGACACAAAAGCGCCGAGATAGTTTTTGGGATAGCTCAACCGAGCTTCATACAACCCCAACTTGCCTTGACACGTGACGGCAAATGTCCACTTCGGATTGGTCCGAATGCCATGTTTCAGATGTTCCCGAAATGGATGACACTTCTGGGAGCCAACCATCTGGAGCCAGATCCGAAAGTCACCTTTGTGGTGTGCGTTAAAAGTAAGCTTGCTCCCTTCCTTCTTGGGGCCTGTTTGAGAGGTGGCCATGGCGCATAACCTATGGCTCCATTTTGGGGTGGATGAACATCCATTTGCCACCTATTTTAACGTTCACCAGGGGTACAGGGTTTTGACCCACAGCCAGGTGTCACTTGCCGGTTTTCAGGGCAGTTTGTTGACTCATGAGCGGGGCCATCAAGGCTTCTTTGCTCGAGAGCCAGGCGCACTTGCAGAGGGGCCCTCAAAGGGATGGGACTCGGTCGGGCAAACAATAAACTTCGCAGTTGCCCAAAGCCGACCTTTTAACCTTTTGTTTTTCCATTTTGGTCCATTCTTAGTCAAGGCCCCAAAAGGTTAATCTTTCATTTCCAGGTCCTTTTAGGGACTTTAAGGCGGGGTCGTGCCACCAAGCCACGTTCCGTGTGCCAAAAGGAATATGTGCTTATGTCCCTTGTTCAGAAAAGTAAGGGAATCCATTGTCTATCGTTGATCTTGGCTAAAACATATTGTCCCGGGGGCTTATCGCAAGTAGAGGTGGTGGGGAGGGATGGAATGTTTGTTTCATGTGGTTTGACCTCCAAACACGGACGCGCAGCTTTTGCTCGTAGGGGGTGCTCTTGGGGCTTTCGAAGGGAAGCCTGAAAGCAAACCCAAGTTGTTTTTCTGCAAGGTCCCAAGTTTCTTGTTTCTTCTTCTGCAACTTGGGGATCCGTTTAGGTTCAGTTGAGTTGACGCTCTTCCATAGGAGGCGCTCGATGAAGACGACGAGCTGGAAGACAAGGATTTGCAGGCTCCGTGTGAATGTTGTGCTTTGAGGCCTTGTTGGTTGGTGGCTCTTCACTTGTTGTGTTTTTTAAATCTGGAGAACCATGCTCAGAGGAGTTCCGTGGACACGAATTCATCCCCCGTTGCAAAAAAGGGGAGTTCCCACTTCTCTGCGTAGCTTGGTCCGGAAACCATCCGAAGTGGGCAGTCACAAGGGTGCCCCTTCCATGGTCGATCCTGGAATTCACGAAGGGAATCAATCTTCTGGTTTCTCCACCCTTTCAGGCCCTCAATTCTCCTTTGACCCCTCTGCAATCCAACCCATGTGGATACATTCACAAGCTGGCATTGCCAGCTGTAGGTCCACTTTGTTCATTTCTTCGGGTTCCTTCCGTTTGACTCGTTTGACTTGGAATCTGTCCAAGGGGCGAACTTGGGTCTTTGGCCCTTGCTGTACCACAGGAGTCTCCCAAGTCACGAGAGGCAGTTAAATTCGCCGACCCAGTTTGGTTGAAACCACGCCTCCCTGCACTAGCTCTCTTTTTCTTTCAGCCAAAAGGGGCTAGTCGTGATGATCAAATCGCGATCCAATGTTCAGGGGAAACAAATCGATTTTCCGGCCTGAGAGATGCTGATCAAAGGCTGACTGCAACCCCACATTACGCGCCCCTAACAACCCCCGGGGGCGGGGGGGTGTACGTGCGGCCTTTGAGCTGAACAGGGGTTCGTCCGTTTGCTCAAGAATGTACCCTCCCTCCAACTAACGTGGCACCCAACAGAGGGTCCCTTCAGGGGCAAATTGATCTTCCAGGTACCCTCCAACAGGTGCTATGTTAAGTGGGAGAGAGGGTATTCTTTATTCCCCTGTTGGTTTTAACCGCAACCTGTCACTGGGAAGATGGTTACCCAGAGCAGGGGGAAAAGGGGCCCGCACTTGCGCCAAGCCGAGACGAGTCGAGACAAGCCGAGAAGCCGAGAACCCGACGAGACACAGCGGGGCAAGCCGAGAAGCCAAGAAGCCAAGAAGCCGAGAAGCCGAGACCGAGCGAGGCAAGCCGAGAAGCCGCCGAGAAGCCGAGAAGCCGAGAAGCCGAGACAAGCCGAGAAGCCGAGAAGCCGAGAAGCCGAGAAGCCGAGAAGCCGAGAAGCCGAGACACAGCGGGGGAAAGCCAAGAAGCCGAGAAGCCGAGACACAGCGGGGGAAAGCCAAGAAGCCGAGAAGCCGAGACACAGCGGGGGAAAGCCAAGAAGCCGAGAAGCCGAGACACAGCGGGGCAAGCCAAGAATCCGAGAAGCCGAGAAGCCGAGACACAGCGGGGCAAGCTGAGAAGCCGAGAAGCCGAGATCAGGCATCAGCGTGTCATCGTCTCAGCGTCGGCGGCAGGGACTTGGCGTCTCAGCGTCTCAGCGTCTCAGCGTCTTAGCGTCCGGCAGGAACTCGGCGTCTCAGCGTCTGGGCGTCTGAGCGTCTCAGCGTCAGCGACAGGGGCTCGGCGTCTTGGCCTTTGAGCCTCTCAAAGTGGAAAGTGCATTTTCTTGCCGTCTCAGCGCCTCCAACAAGTCGGCCCCCTTTCCCCCTGCACTGTGATTACCCTCTCTTCCGCTACACCTCATAGTCCCTCCAAGAAAAACCTTCCAGATGCCCTGCCACAGGGGTAGTTTTCCAGGGCACGTATCTGCAAACGGGGGACGGGGGGACGAAGAAAAGCGTACCCTTCTGCTAGAAAACTGATCCCCTCCCCCCAAAGAATTGTTGGCTGAGGCAGGCGAGCAACCCCGGCAGGTCTCGCGCCCAGCGTGGTTTTGTTTTTGGATAAGAGGCAAGAAGAGCGATGGCTTGGGAGCCCTATGAAAACTGGTACCACCAATCCCAACTGGTGCGAGGTAGATTTTGTCCATCCACAGTTCCTCAAGGACGAAGGGGGGCCACCCAAAGTACGCACACAACAAAGGGGGAGCCAGGCCCCAATGTCCCTTGTTGTTTGGGGGAAGGTTGTATTTGTTTATGTGTATCTCACATGTTTTGTCTGAAACAAGTCAGGTTTCCGACCAACCTTGCACGGGGGTCCCGACCTTTCCCGTTTTGGAACGCCACACGTGAATTCTGGATTGACATGGAGCAATCACTTGAATGTTTTCTATAAGACGCTTGTCCCCTCTCACACAATCGATGGATTTCGCGTGGGACCATTCTCCTGTAGTGTTGCCCACGGATTGTTTCAATCGCCGCTAGTCGACTTGCTGGTGCTCAGCAGGGAATGAGGGAATGAGCCCGATAAACCATCCCTTATCGCACCAGCAAGTTGGTTTGAGTGCTATTGGGTTGGATCTTTAGACTTTAACTTTTTGGTTGAAATCACGGGTTTTCCCCAAAAAAACGCAAAAAGTCAAACTTTTTGATTGAAATCATGTTTTTTTTTTCCCATTAAACCCGAAGACATGAAACAAAAACTGGCAGAGGGGTCGTTGCAGCAACCAAGTTGGGAGGGGGGGCTTCCTGGAGATCCGGAAGGGAAACGTCAGCAGGGATCGCTTCCGCGGCCCAGGACACCGGGGAGGGCCTTGGCTCCAACTCCCCGCTGAACCG